ACATTTAATTCTTCATATATATTTATTGTAACGAACTAAATGATGATTTGCAAGAAAAATTAGGTCAAATTAGGCCTACAGATCATCATTTGAATAACAGATAATACACACATAAAACACACATTAGAGCTGATGCTGTTTTTGTGAGTCCATCTACGATCGCTATCACTGTAAAGTTTATTAAATACTAAGCATTCTGTATCATATTTCGTCTCTAAGGATAATCACACCTATGCTTACAGGGAGAACTTACGAGTCGGCTAATCGCTTTTGGAATGACACTATATATAAAGTTGTAGTACACATACAGTGTTAAAAAACCCATATTGGTTTCCGCAGAATAGGCCTCCGTTTTCGAAATATTCTAATTTAAACTTTTTGTACGCATCTAGTCATTCATTTACGTAAAGCATGTCATAACAGACCAGCCGTAGGTGAGTCGGGAGAGTAACAGACTACGACACTGCGGGTCCTCGAATTCTAATCCGCTGTGGGGTGGTAAATTTTCGTTTCATTTTAAAAAGGTCTTTCCAGTAAAAATAATTTTTTTTTATCTTACATTAATTATACGGCCAAAAATAAAATTTTGCACAACTACTAGAATGCATCCTATTTGCCGTGTATACAAGTTATTTTGGGTATTGGTACTGCAAGAATATTTTTATATTTGGGCTGAAGTATCGACGTCTTCGATTATCCAACAGATTTGGAAGAGCAATTAGAGTAACCTTTTTAAAGCGAAAAAAATATCCACCCCACAGTGGATTCAAACTCGGGACCCGCAGCGTCGTAGTCGGTTACTCTACCGATTCACCTACGGCTGCTCTATTGCAACATATCTTACGTAAATGAATGACTCGATGCGTACAAAAACTTTAAACTAGAATATTTCGAAAACGAAGGCCCATTCTACGGAAACCAATGAGGGTTTTGTAACACTATATGTGTACTACAACTTGTATATAGTGTCATTACAAAAGCAATTAGCCCACCCGTAAGTTCTCCTTGTTAGTCAAGTAGTCCCGACCGACATTGCAACATGGTAAGGGCCGCATATAAAAAACCTGTACACACCGAATAAAATGAAGTACCGTAAATTCTAATCAATGCATCACATTTCCACAAAATATTCATGAAAAAACATTATGCAGTACTTAATGGACAGAAATTCGTAAATAGTCAGAACAAAAATATTTACTCATCGCCGATGGTTTTAGATTTTTTATTCTCATTGACATAACACGCGTGTTTCTATCACGACGACACATTAAATGGCGATACAGTCATTTATATTTGTCAATATCGCGAATAAAAGCACCATTTATTCTATAATACAATAATTAAAGGGAGTTAGTCAACTAACCTCATTAGTCAACTAGCTCCGGTCTCCTCTACTATCGCCTGTTGCACTATCTCACTGGTTAATTGTCCAAACACTATGCCGACCATTTTAACCCCTTGCCTTACGATTTACTTTCAAAGAAACGTGCGTGTGCAGACAATTTAATTTAGCGCAACTCTGTGTGCAGAGTTATCACAAAATAAAACTAAAACATTTCAGTTTTTATTGAATATATTTAAATAAATGTGGACACTATTTCATTTGTGATAGAACACATTAATAAAGTAATGATAATAATAAATAAAAATGGAAAAATATCCTCTTTAACTAACAATAAAATTAAGAGAAAAAAACAAATTTCTCGATTTAATGGAAATTATTACGAACAAAATTAACAAAAATTAACAAAAAATTGAAAAATATCTTCATTAACTAACAATGAAATTAAGGGAAAAAAAACAAATTTTTCGATTTAATGAAAATTATCAGAAAGCTCAGGATTTATACGTTTAGTACCTAGTTTTTGGTTAACACTTCCAGTTGCTGTGAAAAGAAAAGATTATACTTTCGCTAAGAAATCGTAAAACTGTCATAAGTGCTGTGTTGGAAACTCTATTTTTAACAAGCTTTTTCTTATTTATTTGATCGACAACCGAGTCTCAAATTTTTGTGTGTGCGTATTTCGTTCTAATAAACAATCTGTATGAATTTTATTTAATTATCTAGTCTTTCGAATTTGGCACGAACCAACATAGACTACCGGTTTGCCTAAATTTATCACAGACATTTTTTAATGTTCGACACGAAGGCTGAGACCGATGTGGATATCGTCCAGTATACAAGTTTTTTTTACCCTTACAGAATTTTGTTGGCACTCGCCGTAAATAAGAATATCTTACATATCCACTTGCTCTTCGAACGGATACATCGTACCCGGTTGATCGATACGATACTATTCTTATCCTGTTTATCTTATTCCACAAAATTATTAAAGTGTCCTTCAAACAGTGTTTATTTTTAGTGCAGTAAACCATAAGCATTATCGGTTTTCTTTACTTTTTATGACCTTCAATGACCTTATGTAACAGGTTGTTGAACTCGTTTTAAACTTCTCTATCATTCTACGGATACAAAAACATACCAACCCATTTAAAACAATGGAGGTGACTTTGAAATATCCAAAGTTCCACCACCTACAAAAAGTTTTAGGGCCATCAGATGGCTCTCTTCGTACTGTGCACTTTCGGTTCAACAAATATTTCTGTGAACCTTATAGTTTCGAAGATATCTGAGGTGGTAATAGTTATTGCCCACACTCTGTACATATATCTACACTGCGGTGCATTACTATAGCACCACTGATATTTGTAAGATTTTTTTAATTTAAAAGAAAAATTCAAAGAACCTATGTAGTTGCATAATATGAAAAGGCAGTGTAAATAATGAGCTTCAGAGGAAAACGTATTGAAGTAGCCTGCGTATATGTATATCGAGATAAAGTCGAAAAACATTAGACAGTCGGTGCAGAACTATAGCCCCACCTTCAGTTTAATTACACTTCACGCGTGTTTGTCATACAATTTTCATGGAATTCAGATTATTTAATTAATTTGCAAAATGCCACGTGGTAAATATCTTACTGAGAAAGAGCAAGGTACAATTTTGGCGTATAACAAGCAAGAAATGGGCATTATCTCTATGGGGTTATCTCGAATTTTTTACGTGATCCGTCGAAATATGGCAAAAATAAAACAGGAGGGCCTAAGAAGAAATTGTCCCCACGTATTGAGAGGCAAATTACTAAAATTGGTAGCAATAGTTTGAAAAGCTGTCGGGAAATTGCACAGGAATGTGAACTCGACGTGTCACGTTGGACCGTTCAGCGTGTCTTCCAAAGAAATCCAAACATTGCCAGACAAAAACTAATTTCGGCTCCCGTTCTTTCTAAACGCCACAAAATAGCGAGAATGGAATACGCCCGCGAAAACATGAATAAAAACTGGGATCTCGTAAGTTAAAGATCGATAAGTTAAACATGACATTATGTTGTTGCTTTCCATTTAACGTTCTTTTTTTAGATTATATTTTCCGATGAGAAGAAATTTAACCTGGATGGCCCAGATGGGTTCAACGGTTACTGGAGCGACCTACGAAAGGAACCAAAATATTTGTCGAAACGCAATTTCGGTGGGGGGTCATTAATGGTGTGGGCTGCGTTTAGTTCTAGTGGCAAGTTAGAATTAGCGTTTCCTGCATCGAGAATGAATAGGTTAGAGCACATCGAAATATTGGAAAACAATTTGTTGCCATTTATTCACTCAAAGAACCACATTAATTGGACGTACCAACAGGACAATGCCCCAATACACAAAAGTCGAGCAACAATAAAGTGGTTTGAAACATTTAATATCAATTTATTAAAGTGGCCAGCATGCTCCCCGGATCAAAATCCCATAGAAAATCTATGGGGCATTATGGTACGACATGTCTACACACATAATCGACAATTTTCTAGCATTCCGAAGTTAAAAGAAGCTATAATAAAATCATGGAATGATATTAACGATGAAATATTGAAAAAAACTAGTCGGGAGCATGTCCAGTCGCATTTTCGAGTTAATAGAGAAGAAAGGAGGTCCCACTCATTATTAAAACTTCTCATTCTCTTAATTGAAATTATAATTTAATCATTTCATTGCAATTTAGTATTGTTCTTATTTCGTAATTACATTGGTGCTATAGTTGTGCACCCATACAATATCTATGTAATTATTCTATTTCATTTCAAATAAACGATATGTTCGCCATTTTATCATTGCTATAATATCTTTCCAACCTCTTTCGCGTGATAAGATAGAAAAATTAGAAATCATTAATTAAAGCTCCAAAACCCTCGAAAATTGTAGTGGTGCTATAGTTATGCACCGCAGTGTATATCGAACGCTTCGTATTTCGAAACTCGCGTTATCGAAGCCGTAACTCAAACATGAATTCGTGACAAAAAGGACTCCGGACACGCGTCGAAGAATTAAGTCGAGGCTCTCGCTTTGACATACTATACAGGGTGTAACAAAAATGTTGGAAGACCCGGAAATGGAGACTCGTAAGGTGATTTGAAACGAGTTTTTCCTTAACAAAAATGTTATCCGAGGCTTTGTTAACGAGATATGAACGAAAAACCCCCACCAATCAGAGCACGAGTCTGTCGGCCGAATTGGTTGGTCGGGGTTTTTCGTTAACATCTCGTTAACAAAGCCTCGGATAACATTTTTGCTAAGGAAAAACTTGTTTCAAATCACCGTACTAGTCTCTTATTCCCGGGAATCGAAGCTATTTTGGGACACCCTGTATATAAGCCATCCTTAATATCGGACATTAATACAATTAAAAGTAATGAACAATAACTAGTAACCCTCCACAAAGCGAATTATCAAAGCTAATTTCTCCAAAGCAGAAACTCTTGCAGAAGAATATTATACGTATATCATACCTTACAAACTGATTCTCTTAATAGGAATTAACATGCAAAAAGTAAATATGTTCATTGTCACTCCCGTCCTTTCCCCTCCCTCGAGTTTCAGGCAAAGCATTCCAACTTACGACTCAATTCTTCTAAAAATTTCAAGGTACAAAGCTTGAATATATCTTTGTCACTTACCCATATCGTCTATAATTGGTGCCATTCTGAGCGTAACACCAACTAACAGCAAAGACATGGCAAGAAGGAGGCAAGCAGTCGCGACGATCGTCCACCGTGCACGTGGAGGAAGTTCTTCGGGATCAACGAATTCTTCTCGTGGAATTGTAGTCTTAATTTTATGCCGTTTCCGCTTTCGCTTCTTCCGCGGTTGATGATACTTCTCTCGGGCCTTCTCGATTTTCTCGATGCCGCTCAAAATTTCTTCTTCTTCTAATTCGTCCGCCACGTTTAACGCCATGTAGTTTTCGTCGTTGTCGTAGTGGATCTTTCTGCAAAAATGAACATCACAAATTTACATTTGTAAAGATATTATAATCGCGCAAATCAACATTTAGTGTTTCTTTAGTGACAAAGAAATGGAATTACGTTTTATACAGCACAGTAAAAAAGCTACAAATCTACTGTTTTACGAAATAGGATATGTAATATGCACAATAGACTTCCTCTTATTCGATTTCACGTTAACCGGTCACAGTTTTTGTCGAAATTAGATACAGGGTGGTCCACGCAACTTGTTCACCCTGAACAACTTCTAAAGTATGCATTGCATGAAAAAATTTGTTATAGAAAAGTTGTATGGTTTGGAGGGATACATTATGTAATGCACATAGTTTTTTTTATAAATGGTGGCATTCCGGAGATTTGAAGGTCAACTTCGTATTTTTAAATAGAATGCTATATTTTTTATGCCACATAAAAATATAGCATTCTATTGACATGCAACTAGATCTATAATTATGTGTGCTGAAATTTATCCTGAACGAATAAACCATGTCGATTGATATTCGAAAGAATTTGTACATCGTTTCAAAAAAGCGGAAGATTTAACGTTACTAAGTGTAACGTGACCAAAACTGCTACTTGTGAAGAAAGACTATTGCTTTGAAAATCCTCATATCAGTACACGACAAATTTCACGAGGTCCTGGTACAGTGGACTTTTACTATATTGCCTCTAAACATATTGCCACGCGAGGCACTTCCCCTTCACATGTACTTTCGAGCACACAAATTCGCGCTCCCACTACGTTGCGTACGTCGACGCGCCAGTACGATCCAGCTTTTGCGCAGGCGCTGAGGCCGAGGCTATGACGATGGAACTTAGCATGGAGGAGGCTCTGAAGTCATTACCATTTTACTCCCCTACAGCCCCGACCATGGCAACATACTTAGAGTCCAATGTAGGTACTTCTATAAGCATCGTTTGCCAAAAGAATGGAGCAACAATGAGAAATATCTAATTTTGTTAGGAAATATGTAGTAAAATATGTAGCTGACGACTCAATGTACTAATAATTGGAATCATTTAAAACATTACGTAGCACAATTATAAATGACCGAAATATTGTATAATTCGGTTTTCATTGTAAAACACTCATCAGTTAATTAGTAATATGTTCTGACAGACGTAGTGGAAAATATTAAAATTAAAATTTTTGGTATCTAATAACTGATAAAACCCGCACGTCATATCGTTGTCACCCATGACC